CCTATTTGTATACTTATCTTCGACAAAATACCTCTGGCCTGCCATGTGACAAACAGAGTCGTTGTGCTCATCGGATATCTGCCATTTCTGTGTGCCGACCTTTGGCCTTGTCCGCTGCTGGCCCTGACCCTTGGCTTGTCTCCTGGTGATCCTCATCCAATGCCTGCCCTGACCCCTAGCTTGTCTCCTGGTGATCCTCGTCCAATGCCTGCCCTGACCCTTGGCTTGTCTCCTGGTGATCCTCATCCAATGCCTGCCCTGACCCCTAGCTTGTCTCCTGGTGATCCTCGTCCAATGCCTGCCCTGACCCTTGGCTTGTCTCCTGGTGATCCTCGCCCAATGTCTGCCCTGACCCTTGGCTTGTCTCCTGGTGATCCTCGCCCAATGCCTGTCCTGACCCTTGGCTTGTCTTCTGGTGATCCTCGCCCAATGCCTGCCCTGACCCTTGGCTAGTCTTCTGGTGATCCTTGTCCTTTGCCTGAACGGAACCTTGACTTGTCTCCTGGTGATCCTCTTCCAATGCCTTCCCTAACCCTTGGCTTGTCTCCTGGTGATCCTCGCCCAATGCCTGCCCTGACCTTTGGTTTACCTCCTGGTGATCCTCATCCATTGCCTGCCCTAACCCTTGGCTTGTCTCCTGGTGATCCTCGTCCATTGCCTGCCTTAACTCTTGGCTTGTCTCCTGGTGATCCTCGTCCATTGCCTGCCCTGAACCTTGACTTGTCTCCTGGTGATCCTCGTCCAATGCCTGCCCTAGGCATATGCCAGTTATAGGCATAAATCCCAGAGGCATGTTGGGATTGGTAGTTAAAAGCACAGTCCAGAGTTGCCCACCCCTGGCATAGGGGAATCAGAAGTGTCATATGCCAGAGAGTGGAGGAGGCAGCAACGTTGGGAAAGTAGGATACACGGGCTACCAGAAAGGGGAGTGGACTACCTTTTCTCTTACGTGGAGCTGGCTACATGATTCATTTAGATGGCACTGCGTGTGGTACAGTTGCCATGGTTGTTTATTCATTGTATGCACCCATTTATCTCCAATCTTTCAGCCACTTCCTGTCTATATGCACTTGCTCTAGAATTGTCTGATCACAGCCGCTGCCTAATCAGCTTAAAAATCGCTCGGGCTTTAACCCTTTCGCTGCCGCCGCCGTATACCATACGTTGGCAGTAAGGAGTTCTCCCTGTGCTTGCGTGTGTTTCCTCCGGGTACTCCAGTTTCCTCCCACACTCCAAAGAGGTAGGTAAATTGGCCCGGTATGCATGTCACATAGGGACCGTAGATTGTAAGCTCCTTGAGGGGGGGGGGACTGATGTGAATGTGCACTGTGTAATGTGCTGCGTCATTTCCCTAACTCACATGGATACATACGAGGGCCCGTTCAGACTGGAGCCATGTAACCTACCAGCATGTCTTTGGAGTGTGGGAGGAAAGCGGAGTACCCGGAGGAAACCCGCGCAAGCCCAGGGAGAACATGCAGACTGTGACCTGGCTGGGATTCGCAACCAGGGTTGTTAAGGTTAAATAGACACAGGCCATCCAGTTCAACCTATGAGTATGTGTGTGTGTATACGTGTGAGTCACTGGGAGTACCTATACCCCGTATATTGTGCTCACTGAGGAAACCATCCTGAAGTAACTACTCCATATTCTCAGATGATACCACTACCCCGGGAAGGGAGTCCCAGTGGCGTCACAAGGGGGGGGTGGCCCGCACCAGGGTGACACCATTGGAGGGGTGACACCAAAATGACTGTCAGTCATTTTGGTGTCACCCCCTCTGAAGAGCAAATGAACAGAAAGCACCAGCACTCGGTGGAAAATGCTCGAATGATAAAGTCCATTTAATCGGACAAGTCACCATACATGTCGCAATAACCATAACCGACAATGTAACCGGTTACATTGTGACCCCCGAAATGTCGGTTATGGTTATTGCGACATGTACATTTTGCTGGCGATTCCTGTTCATTTGCGGTCTGATGTGCACACGGCGCCATGCGTGAGTATCACTGCGAGCACCATCGTTGTGAGATGCTGTAAGGAGTGCAGGGGGTTATACTGTTCTTCAATACCCCCTCTGAAGAGTCGGACACTCAGTCATGGACCCGAGAGCTCAACAGCTGCAGGAGAGAGAGGAGGGGACCCGGCGACATCCCTTATCCCGCCGGTTGATCCTACCCTCCTCTCTCTACTGGCATCCATCACCAAGATGGCCGCCGGCAGGTATCACAAAGATGGGCTCGCATGCGTGATGACGTGTCACTCGGTATCCGCTCCGGGTGACACGCCCCTGCTCGAGAATCCCCTTCCCAGTTTTAGATGAAACCTCCTTTCATCCTGGGACATAAAAAAACGGCCCCTTTCACCTGGGTGTCATGTGACATCATGGAAACACAATTCGCAGATCCGCCGCTGGATCACCAGGTATATTTTTTAATAAAAACGGAAATTTACGTAGAACGAAAACAACTTTCGATATCACAGTAACATGTTAGAATGTCTATGAGCTTTTAGCGATTGGGTTTAGATCTGCTTCAACGACCTACATGGTTAGGAGGTCATAGTGAGTTCAGGATTTGGCTTGGAGGTGTCGTACGGACATACATGTGATACACAGAGCGTTTGGCCTTTTGGGTAAGATCGAGTGTAGTATCTGTTCTAGGAAAGAACGGTATGATCCTTGAAGCGGAGGATGACAGTCTAGTGTTCCCCGGAGTAATCGGTGGGTGCTGGTGGAGGCTCCGGGGTTGTTTCTGGCCCGGCTTGTCCCCAGTTGTAGGTAGAAACCATCCGGTGCTACCATCTTCTGGTAGGAATGGGCCCTTGTCTGGCCAGGAGCTGGAAGAGCAAGGAGCTTCCGGTGATGTGCCACCCGGGGTTGGCGTGCCAAAGAAACACAATGGGATTGGGACCCCACAGTGTGGAAGCTGGCACTTGGTCACGTGACCTATATGCTTTTCTTGCACATGCCTCCTAGGCAGGCCTTTTGGAGAAATGTTATATGGGCCCCAAGGCCTGCCATGTCTTGAACTTGGCACGTAATTTTTGGCACGTGTTTCACTTCACCGATGAGGAACGGTGCAAGTCTTTCGGGGCCCTGCCCTGATGTTGGGGGATCTGCTGCCTTCAGAGGTCTTTCCCCCACTCTTCGGGAGAGCTTCTACCAAGCACTTGGTGGACCATCTTTGGCTGGTCCCTAAGGGTCGGGGTGCTCTTGGCTTCACCGCTTGGTGGACTAAAGTGCTTTGCCTCAGTCAGCGCCTCGGAGGGTTCAGGGATATTGTGACCCCTTTTTTTCCCGGTAGAGGGTCTAGCAGCCTCGTGCACTTTTTTTGTGTGCCATAATTTCATAGTTTTTTTTTGTTCACAGAGGATTTGTAACAATATACGACGCGGGACATCTGAAAATATGGCGGACAAGTCACAAAAGAAAAAGATCTACAAATATGGTCAAGCCGACATCTTACGAAGACCCTTCCCAGACTGGAATGGGACTATGACTTCACCCTGGTATGAGTCTTTAGATGCTTGGAAAGGGTCGACTTCCACAGGAAACTTTTCCCACACTCAGAACACGGAAACGGCTTGTCACTGGCGTGGCTTTTCTGATGTCTGTTGAAAGTAATCTTGTCGGCGAATCCTTTTCCACATTCCGAACATGAATACGGTTTCTCCCCCGTGTGAACTCTTTCGTGTTTGATCAGAGATGGCTTCAAAGAAAAACATTTCCCACATTCCGAACAGGAGAACGGCTTCTCTCCCGTGTGGGATCTCTGATGTTTGGTAAAGTCTGCTTTCTGGATAAAGCTTTTCCCGCATTCGGAACACGAGTACGGCCTTTCCCCGGAGTGAATCATCTGATGTCTGCTGAGTCTATCTTTTCTGGCGAAACATTTTCCACATTCGGGGCACGGGAACGGCTTTTCCCCCGTGTGAGATCTGAAATGTTTGACAAAATCGGATTTCTGCATGAAACACTTCCCGCACTCGGGGCATGGGAAGGGCCTTTCCCCAGTGTGACTCATCTGGTGTCTAATAAGTCTCTCTTTTATGAGAAAAGATTTTCCACATTCCACACAGGGGTATGGCTTCTCCCCTGCGTGAAATTTTTCGTGATTGATAAGGCTGGATTTCTCTAAAAAACGTTTCCCACACTGAGGACATGAAAAGGGCTTAACAATGGCATGGCTTTTTTGGTGCCGCTGAAGAAGATATTTATCCACATAGCGCTTTCCACACTCTGGGCATGCATACGGCTTCTCCCCTGTATGAGCTCTCTCATGTATAAGAAGGCGTGACTTAGCAGAGAAACATTTCCCGCACTCCGAACACGGATATGGCTTCTCTCCAGTGTGAGTTCTCTGATGTACACGAAGACGAGACTTAACAGAGAAACACTTCCCACACTCTGAACAGGATAATGGCTTCCCCCCTGCAGATCTTTGATGTTTATCCAAATCTGATTGCTGAGCTGCCTCTTGTTCAGGATCCGGCTCTTCCCCCGAGTGAACTTTTGCATGTTTGATAAGCCCTGATTTCCAACAAAACCTTTTCCCACACCTTGAACAGGAATACGGAGTCTCCCCCGTGTGAGCCCTCTGATGGACAACAAGGCGGGATTTAAAAGGAAAACGCTTCCCACATTCCGAACAGGAAAAGCGCATCTCCCCCGACTGAGATTGTTGATGCTTAGCAAGATCCGAAGATTTCCCATGTTCGGAATGCGGCTTCTCCTCCGTGTGAACTTTCGCGTGTTTGAGGAGAGTTGTTTTCCATCTAAAACCTTTCCCACACTCAGAACACGTATACGGCTTCTCCCCCATGTGCGTTCTCTGGTGTGCGGCAAGTCGTGACTTAAAATAAAAACTTCTCCCGCACTCAGGACAGGAATGTGATCCTGCTCCCGTGTGAGATCTTCGGTGCGCGATCAAGTTTGCTCTCCGGTTGAAGCATTCGCCGCATTTCGAACAGGTAAATATACTCCGAGGTGAGTGAATCCTCTCGTGGATAAGAAGGTTCCATTTTTCACGAAAGCGTCTTCCGCACTCCGAACAGGAATACGGTTTGTCTCCTGTGTGGACTTTCTTATGGCGGGCCAGGGTGGATTTAATTGCAAAACGTCGCCCACACTTTGAACACGAATACGGCTTCTCGCCGGTGTGGGTCCTGCCATGTGCGATGAGATCTTGACTCTGGGCAAAACATCTCCCGCACTCAGAACAGGAGTAGGGCTTCTCCCCGGTGTGAGTCCTCAGGTGTCTAATAAGGTAGGCTCTCCGGGAAAAACATTTAGAACACTCCGAACAAGAATATGGCCTCAACTTCATGTGAGTCCTATGGTAAGAGATCGGTTCAGAAGACGACGATGTCTCACCCACTAGAAATAAAAAAGAGAATTGTTAGGATAATTCTATAAACCAAACCAGGGACAGGCAACTAGGGATTCTATGCCAGTGATAGGCAACCAGGGACAGGCAACTAGGGATAGGCAACCAGGGATTCTATGCCAGGGATAGGCAACCAGGGACAGGCAACTAGGGATAGGCAACCAGAGATTCTATGCCAGGGATAGGCAACCAGGGACAGGCAACTAGGGATAGGCAACCAGGGATTCTATGCCAGGGATAAGCAAGCAGTGACAGGCAACTAGGGATTCTATGCCAGGGATAAGCAACTAAGGATTCTATGTAGGGATGCACCGATACCACTTTTTTACGACCGAGTACCGATACTTTTGATCAAGTACTCGCAGATACCAATTACCGATACTTTTTCTTAAAGGGACAGGTCACATTTTTTCTAAAGCAATACAAACTAATGCTTTAAGGTCACTTTCTTAATATTATGATTCATGAGATGACGAGGGAGCATGACGCTGGCTTCCCGGCCATTCAGAATGCCGGGCGCTGCGTCATTACACGGCGCCCGGCTTCCGGATTTGCTAGCTTCTTGACCAATCGGGAAGCGCGTCATTGTACGCTACCCGGCTTCCTGATTGGCCGGGAAGTTGGCTCAATGCTCTGTCATCACAAGTGACGAGAGAGCATGGAGCCGTTTCCTGGCCAATCAGGAAACCGGGCAGCGTGTAATGATGCGCAGCCCGGCTTCCTGATACAGGAAGTACTCGTGCTAGGTATCGGAGCATTTGGGCGAGTACGAGTACTCACCCAAATACTCGGTATCGGCACCAATACTAGTATCGGTACATCCCTAATTCTATGCCAGGGACAGGCAACCAGGGACAGGAAAATAAGGATTCTATGCCAGCAATAGGCAAGCAGGGATTCCATTCCAGGGACAGGCAAGCACAGGGATTCTATGCCAGGACAGGCAAGCACAGGGATTCTATGCCAGGGACAGGCAAGCACAGGGATTCTGTGCCAGGGAAATGCAAGCACAGGGATTCTATGCCAGGGACAGGCAAGCACAGGGATTCTATGCCAGGGACAGGCAAGCACAGGGATTCTATGCCAGGGAGAGGCAAGCACAGGGATTCTATGCCAGGGAAAGGCAAGCACAGGGATTCTATGCCAGGGAAAGGCATCTGGGATTCTATGCCAGGGACAGGCAAGCAGGGAATCTTTGCCAGGGACAGACAAGCAGGGAGTCTATGCCAGGGATAGGCAAGCAGGCATTATTTGCCAGGGATAGGCAAGCAGGGATTCTATGCCAGGGATTATTTGCCAGGGATAGGCAAGCAGGGATTATTTGCCAGGGATAGGCAAGCAGGGATTCTATGCCAGGGATAGGCAAGCAGGGATTATTTGCCAGGGACAGACAAGCAGGGATTCTATGCCAGGGATAGGCAAGCAGCGATTCTATGCCAGGGATAGGCAAGCAGGGATTCTATGCCAGGGATAGGCAAGCAGGGATTCTATGCCAGGGATATGCAAGCAGGGATTCTATGCCAAGGACAGATTCTGTGCTGTGCATACAGTTTTTAGTATTGCCAGAGAGAGTGAAATATGACACAGCAACCGGAGTCTAATAGAGGCTGATGGCTCCTGACTCCCCCCACTAGACACATTCCGTCCCCCCATTACTGTCTACTGACAGAGGACGGGGGAGAAGAAGAGATTGTTGTAGTGACTGAACAAGGAGAATCTGAGACTCTTTTCTGGATTTAGTGTTTATAACTCACCTGTGCTGATCTGAACTTGAATTTCCTCCTCCTTACACAGCTCATCACCACTGACAGACGTCTCTTCCCCATCTTGCTCTTCTTCTTTCACTTCAACTTTAATCAGATTGTCATCCTGAAATGACAGAATACCAAACTGAATCTCATCGTTGTGCGGTTAGACAACAAGACTGTCGGTGACCCTCACTGACTACATGCTTCTGGCTTTCATATACAAACCCAAGCTCCTGAGCTAGAGCCCATTCGATTCTCCCAAGAAATTGCCTAAGCCCTGATGAAGGGGAATCGTTGGACCTTTGAAATGTGTTGGCCTTCTCTTCTTATGCCTCTGCCATTTGTGGAATCAATACAATACATTTCTGGACTCTCAGAGTGCGGCTTTGGTGCTCCTTTTGCTTGACTACAAATCCCATCATGCATCTGCCTCTGGGAGTCATGCCTGTGGCTGTCAGAGCCTTGCAATGCTTGAAGGGATTTGTAGTTGCATCACAGCTGGAGGGCCTAAGCTTGGCCTAAAAGATTATGATAAATTGTGTGCATCTTTGTATGTTTTCTTGTAGCCCTGATGAAGGGGGTTCCTTAGTGTCCTCAAAACCAGTTGGCTTCTTATATACAGTATATATATATTTATTTGATGATGAAATAAAAACTGGACTCTTAACCATTGGTATGGCACTCCTCTTCTAAATCACTTCGACCAAAGCACTGCTCTGAGTTTTATCAATGGAATATCTCATGAATGGCCTGTAACATACACACCGGGCCATGTACAACATCCAGCTGGACTCTTAACCATTGGTATGGCACGCCTTCTCTTCTAAATCACTTTGATTTTGACTGAAGCACCTCCCTGAGTTTTATCAATGGAATATCTCATGAATGGCCCGTCACATATACACAATGGGCCATTAACAACAACAACCAGCTGCTGGAGCCACCCCCAGACTCCACCCCCTTTGTGAAAATGACCGTATGTTAGATCCAGCTCCACCTATCACACCTTTAAAAGGCACAGTGACACGGACCCCGATATACAAACTGTGGTAATAGTCAATGGAATGTCTGGCTTATAGGACTTATAGGAGAGCTGAGCCACTTTAAAACGCACTTCTAACCAGAACCGAGATGTGCATACGGTTAGGTGACTCTAAACTTCCAGGTTTCCCACCAACCATACCCCAAAAGGCTCAAATGTGGATCCACAAACTATCGGTGCCAAACCAAATAGAGTATCAGAGTCTTTAACCCCTTCACGACCAGTGACGTACATAGTCATTGGCAGCGGGCCCGTTTAAACAGACCCCCTGCTCTGTTTGCAATTGTACAGCCGACTGTCGGCTTTACAATGGAAGGGATTCTGGCGACGCAGCTGTCGCCAGATCGCCTCTACGGGCCGGTAAAGTGTCCCCTCCCCCACCCGACACCCCCGCCGTGTTTCCTGGGCTCCGCTGCCCCTCCTGCAGGCCCGGGATTGGCATCTTGGGTGCCGGCGGGAAGCTGCGGAGGAGATTGGCGAACGTCCGTTCATCGGTCTCCCCGTTCTATGGGACCGGGAGTGACGTGTAGTACGTCACGTCCGTTCCCATAGCTGTCATTGGTTGGCTCCTGAAGCCCAGCTTATTTAAAGTGTAAAGGTGACACTGGCGGACTGAAGAGTTGCTGTTTGAGTTGGCCAGCTGGTCAGTGAAGATGAACTGTTTTTTTATTTTGCTGCTGTGAAGCTATTTAAGTTAATAAACGTTACTTTATTTGCAAAGCCTGTGTCCTGCGATCCTGCTGGATTCCCCTCACATTACACTAGATATAGAGTTAGAGAGACAGAGAAACAGAGAGATATAGATTGAGATAGAGAAATATAGAGTTAGAGCTTAAGATAGGGAATATAGAGATAGATATGAGAACTATATATAATTCTCGGGCCAATAAACTGATGACCTGTGGGGGCTTTTCAAGCGTCATCTATGGACTTTTTGAGGTACTGGATTATGCCGCCGCCGTTTGGCGGACGCACGCAACTTTCAACCTGGGCATGTTGGGGATTTATTCACTCCTTGTAACCTCATCTTTTATAAACAAAATGAGTATTACACTGTGCTTTGGGGCACTAAATTTAACTTAATTGCATTTTTCACTAAATTTGTGGGTTTGATAAAGAGTTGCGCTAATATCGTGCAACATAAAAATTAGCAACTGCCGCCACTTAATTCTACAAGGAATTGGCTTTCAGAAAATATATCATGTTTGGGGGTTTGAAGTCACCTTTAGGCCTAAAATGTGGATTAGAACACCGAAAAAAAGGCCTTGGCAGCGAAAGGTTCCTTCGGGGGTTAAAAAAATTCATAATTCCATCCAATTGACAAAAGAGTCAACGCTTTTCACAGCCAACCCCCCTCAGGGTAAACTGACGTTAGCAAAGCGTACACTCCAGAAAAGTTGTCTCCACACAACACAAAGTTCTCTCTGGCCATCACTGTCCTGAGTCCTCACGTTTCTACTTCATTGTTCCAAGCCCTGAGGAAGGGGGATGCATTTGCCCCTGAAACGCGTTGGATGTTTTGTCGCATTGATCAAATATGACCACTCATACTTGAATGGATTGGCGCCCATCTTTGCTGAACCACATTTATACTATATCAGGACCAGGAGAAAGAGACACAAGATTTCCATTGCAACCCTTGGCATTTTAGAAGCTGGTTCTGAGGAAGGTAAGAGGTTCCATCATTGGGTGGAAGAGGTGCAGTTCCCCAATGGGAAAAGGCCATTAGATAGCCTATCGTTTGCAGTAAATGGGTGTCTGACATAATCTGCATTGCTCTTTGCAGGTTTCTACCATTATTTGCTGAGCACCTGAATCCCCAGTACCTGATCATCGGGTGGAGTCTTGAGATGTTCCGTGGAAAGGTCCAGGGAATGCAGAGGACTTGGATAGTTATCAGGTGTATTTATGTTATAGGATCCATCTGTAGGAAACACAAATAGTCAAGTAAGTGGAAAGTCAAAATGTATTTTAAATCCGACCTCCGGCCTTCCACAGTTGTACCGGCTCCTCTCCTGGACTGGCTTCCTCTGGTGTCACTGCACACCGCGAGCTTCTCACCATGTGCATCAGAAGCTAC